TGTGCGGGAACCATTAAGTCGTAGAAAATTGACTAATCACAGTCGAATATGAGAAGAATAATCAACTGTGATTGGCCAATTTTCTACGACTTAAGACCTTACGACCGTTATGACTTCTATTGTAGACCCCGCATTAGGACCACTGTCACCAAGCTCAGTTAACTTAATTGGCAAACTTTAAAGCAAACAAAATGACAAATGCGATTGGTCAATTCCGATGGACTAACCCCGGATCTACAATAGGTGTTTTAAGCCTAAATCGTAAGAAATTGACCAATCACAGTCGAATTCGAGGAGAATAATCGACTATGATTCGTCCATTTCTTATGGCTTAAGGCTTAAAACCCTATTGTAGATCTGGGGTAACTGGCCAATTACTTGAGTTAACTGAGCTTGGTGACAGTGGCTACGTTTACATCGTGCATTTAGTCTGCGACCTATACGATAGGTGTCTTTATTTAATATACAGGCTAAACAAGGACATCTATTGTATAGGCCGCGGCCTAAACGAACGGTGTAAACATAGTAATTTTCATCAAAATTATATCATTCAATTACAAATAAAATGTAATTAAATTATACTCTTTAAACAATGTACAAAATTACAGAAATTCTACTGAACTTTACTAAACAGATTAAATTCACTTCTACACTTAATTCACTAATACAATTAAATGTGACACTGTACATCGTACATATACACTGAAAAAAATGCATATAATTTTATATGGAAATTACATGTATACGACTGGAAAATTATGCTCAATGCTGAATGCTCAATATGGCAACGAAAATGTTGCAAGTTATTCCATTCAGCGAACCTGGTAGTATACGGAACATTTTTCATGACTACTTCCAATCCATGTAGTTAGATCTCCTTATTCATGGTCACAGGACTGCATATGAAAAAGGTATTCAATCGGACCACCTGTACTTCTAACATCGTGATCGGACTTATGCGCAATGGCACACCTTGTATATTTTCACCATGATTTTAACTTTTAAGTAAATAATGAGGAGCAACAATTAAAATCTTTTAAAAATTACTTGGAATCGTATACAAATATAACAAAATCAAGAACGTTAAATCTGAGGCTCCATTTGTAAAATTTCATTGGAATTTTCTTTAAAAGATATTTCCAATGTTGTAACAAATAGTCAGAAATTATATGAGACAGAGAGATTTATCTATTTTATTCGTCCTATTTTGCAATGACATATAACAAATTTATATATATATATATATATCAAATATTTAAAGTCTAGTATCTTCAATAAAATTGTATTTTCTTAAAAGATATAAGATTTTCTTAAAGAACTTCGTAACACCATATTTCAGAGAATTTATCTTCGTAGTCAAGTAAGAAAGAAAATTGATTAAAATCTGGTTTTTTAAAAGGTTTTAACCACTTTTCTACCGAAATTCCGATTAGTAAAATTTTAAAAGTTGTTTCGACAGATGGACGAGTGACAAGCAGCGTTCCTGGTTTTATTGCAGTTCTCAAACATTTCCATATATCTATTTGTACATCTCTCGGTAAATAAAATTCAAATGCATTATTAATGATAATAACATCACTTTGCTTGATTATCTCCGGAACCTCTTCTATTCTTTTGTGCAAGATAGATATACGGTTGTCCATTTTGTATTTACATACAGTTTCATTTTGGAGATTGCAGAATTCTCTGTTCATTTCAACACCAATAATTCTTCTAGCATCTGTATATACGTACGCCTGTAAAGCAAAAGCATCAATATGATAAAAAAAATTGCTGTAAACAAAAACTTTCTTATCGCTTATTCAGCAATTAATTTATTAATAATATTATTAGTTATACGTGTACAATAATACATATTTTTAAATAATATTCTTACCCCATAAAGAACTGCACCTAATCTTGATCCTACGTCAAGTACAGTTTTGTTTTCCAAAGTAGGCAGTAGCACTTTAAATATAAAGTACAATCCATCCTGAGACATGGAGTGTGATAAAAAAACTAAAATTATAAATATATTATATTTACATAACATAAATCATAAAATATAAAGAAAAAATTTAATTTCAATTTTACTTACTCAATGGCTGTATATTTCTAGATCTACAATCAGTGCAATAGTATCTTTCTAATTGATTACTTTCTATAAGCTTGTCAATATCTTCATCATTATAAAGGAACTCATCCATATGCAATGTGACACTAGGATCGCAATCTGAATTCTAAGACAAAAAAATGTTATTTTGATATTTTTCAAAAATTAAACAGTTATTTCTTTATATTTATTCATGACAAGACATACCTCTCCTGTTAAAGGAGTGATAAAATTTTCAGATGACAATATGGCATTAAATGGAATCTTTTGTTTAATATCGGAAACAATAGAATTTAAAATAGACATTGACTCATCCATTAATTTTTTACTATTACATGTATCATCCCCTATTAACAATAATTTTAATAGAAAAAAATTAATTTGTTTTGATTGTGGAATTATTATATCAAATAAAGTAATATGATTTGTTATTTTTAGTTTTATTATAAGACGTTCATATACTTTTTTATAATTGTAACAAAAAAGCTAAAAGAAGCAAAAAATTGAGTATATAAAGAGAAATATAATTCATTAATTTATTTTGATCGCTTTATTTTATAACAAAATATAACAAATTTATATCATATTTGTACATATAAAAAAAATTGCAACAAACCTGAATCATTATAAGCCATAAATGGTTTAAGTTTCCATTCCTTCATAATAAACGTTAAAAATTTTTGTTGATCGGTTGCGTCCAACGATCGCATCAATTCAACAAAACTTTGTTTTGCGTCATTTAAATCAATCGGTTTTTTATTCATTTTTTGTCTCACAAAAAGTACTTAAAAAAATTTTCACCTATATATCCACATATAAAATTTTTGTTATAATAATTTAAATCCGATATATTTGTATGCCCTCATAAAATACAAAATGTCTCAAATTATTATTTGCACATTTAAAACGTGTTCTTCTTGGAATTTTTCTTTCGTCAGAAAGAATTTGCGTTTTGGACCTTGTCTTTATAGGTTATAGGATACAGTCTTTTTGTATCTATATATCATGCTACGTGTTGCTGCGCTTATCTTAGCGCTGAGACTACCATGTTCCCTGATTAAAACATGTAATTTTTTGGAGTGTCTTTTGGATAAAGGCAATAATTTCGTTTAAAGTAATTTCGACCTGTCGTTTAAAGGTTAATCGCGTCACACGCTCCAATATGCTCCCATTTATTCCAACGCACTCCAATACGTTTGCGTCACCACCGATCATGGTGGAATTAAGCACACGACAGCATATGCCTAGTTTACATCGTGCACTTGATACGGATACTAACTAGTAACTTTCTATTGAAATATCTTAATTTCGGCGAATCGCGTAAACATATACACGATATGTGTATTTAATTAATCATTTTGATGCATATTCCACCAATTTAGTACATCATTCTTTAAATACGTTGCTGAAATTAAAATAATTTAATAGAAAGTTACTAGTTAATATCCGCCCTTGCTTTCCAGCAAGGATACAGTCAGGCTGATATTACATGAGTGCGGAAACACGGCAATACGGAAGCGCGCAACCAATCAGTAATCGATGAAACGCGAAACCATAACAGCGGATTGCTTCTGATTGGTTACGCGTTTCCGCATTTCCGCGTTTCCGCGCTCATGTAATAGCACCCGCAGGGTGCCGTCACATGCGGCGTAACCTGCGTAAGCGTAACTTGCGTATTCTAGTAATTTACTAGAATACGTTATTTTTTATTTACTAGAATACGCCATTCTGAAAGCCGGCATTCACATTGGGCGTATTTCGCGGAAGATTAGAGAAATGAACTAATGCAACCAATTGCTGTTGTACACTCTAACAGAAATGCTAAACGAATTTACGATTGGTTTTCGTAACCTACGCAACTCAAAAAGTACGCCTCATGGGGAACCGGTACTTTCTATCGCGTACGTACAATACGAGTTTGTACAAATTTAGAACAAGAAAGTCTGATTTATAATGGCCGTAACCGTTAATTTATGTGCCGGTGCCGGTAAAGTTCAACCATAGGATTTCAATGCTTTCGTTCATACTAATGCTGGATTCACACTGCATCCGATTTTCGTCGTACGACAATGAGAATGAAGATTGAAAGATTGAAGTTTGACCAATCAGAACAAAAGGAGCCAGAATTGAGGAGTCCTCATTGGTGAAATTTCAATCTTTAATCTTCAATCTCAATCTTCAATGCATAGTCTGATTCCGGCCCAACTTGCCGTATTAGTAGAAAATTGACCAATCACAGTTGATTATTCTTCTCATATTCGACTGTGATTGGTCAATTTTCTACGACTTAAAAACCCTGGTACGACTTCTATTGTAGACCCCGCATTAGCCGCGCATGCGCCAGAAAGCGGCGGGCCCGGTTCACAACGTTGTCGATTGAAGCCTACTTCTCATTCCCGAGTTTGATCTCCTGCTTTCTTATTCTGTGGGCAATACTATAGCGGTAGCCTTATTTCTCTATATTCATTTTAATGCAAAAAATGGCGGATTGTGAGGGTGCGTTTTGTGTTTCTCCAGATTCAGTTGCATGTGTGTTGTGTGCTTGGAAGTGAAATAATATCGATTAAATATTAAAAGTATTCTGTTTTATATGATATAAAGTCATATGGCACATAATACGGGACGTTTTTTAATGAAATTGCCACTTGTGTCAAAAAATCGTTCGAACCGTTCACGATAATGATTTTTCAAGTTTGTTTCTATTTCATTTAGAGGGCTTAGAGGATATCGATCATCCACCACTCGTTCTGAAGATTGATCCGCCCGAGGAGTTACTGGAAGATTCTACCGAAGACTCAACGATTAGCAATTCAGCAGCACCAACTGATCGGGATACACATGTTCATGGTTATTCTAAAATATTTATATAATTTCTCATATAATTGTCTCATTGGCAAATGCGGGTAACAATTAAGAATAATTATTTACCATACTAATGAGATATTTAGTCATAGAGTATGATAAACTCATGGATTTTGCAGATGAAACAAAAAACTGTACAGCAGAATCTAATGATCAAGAATCCACTTCAGCAGCTGTTAAGCCTCTTAATAAGAAACATTGTAAGTTTGACATTGATTTAATAAGAAAATGTAATGTGACATTTTCATTGTGTATTAGTATGTATTATATGTTTGTAGATTCTGTGCTAGCTGTTTCAAAACTAGAAAATTCATTCGGTATTAATGAATCTTTGAATCCTGTAACTAGCAAATCAAAGTCGTCTATACTAAGACCGTCACAATTAAGTGTGATAACCAATAGTTCTATGGGTACTACTGACAAAACTGTTTTACAACCTGCAAAATTTCGCAATCCATTTACAAAAACTAGTGACAATTCTGTAGGTGAGGATGAGTCCATAACGAAGAACAATAAAACCGAAACAACTAAAGATTTTAAAAGTGAGGAAAAATCTACAGAGGATGTAAAATTGAAATTTTTGCCTTTGGGTGCAAGCACTAAGGAGAATGAAAATAATATAAATAATTCTGTGGCATCCAGTACATCCACTCCTAGTTTTGTATTTGGTCAGAATTTGAAAGAGCGTGTTACTGTTTCAAATGATATAGAAAGTTCAAATAATTCCGAGAAAAATGAAATGAGAAGCGAAGAAAGTAATGAAAATGGTTCTGAACTTTTATTCTCAAATGCAGCTGCAAATTGCCGTACTATGGTAAGACCAGGTTTAACATTGACTCAAGCAGCACAGGTATTGGAAGAAGCTAATCGTGCAAACAAAAGAAAATATAATCAAGTGACATTATTAACTGGTGAAGAAGGAGAAACGAATGTTCTTCAGATAAATTGCAAATTATTTGCCTTTGATAAGGTGTGTATGCCTCGAGAATAATATATTTTTTGATATTTAAAGTAATCTATATTGAATAGTTTAAATTAAATTTTACAAACTCAAATTAACTGTAATGATACAAGAATCCCTACTGAATATTAAGTTCAAATTGGTATAAAATGATACCAATTTGAATTTTATATTCAGTAGTACCTTGTATCACTACAGGCTATTCCAGCTAATACTAATAGGCTATTTCAATGTTGGGTGTCAATCGCTGATGAAAAAAAGAGAAAAAAATTAATATGTCATATTCTTCAATTAAATTTTATAAATAATGAATACTCAATATAAATTATATGTATACACATTTAAATTATACTAATTTAATACTGATTTCATAGTTGCTATATGTTGTAGAGTACTAGCAGTTGGCAGGAAAGGGGAAGAGGTATGTTAAGACTCAATGATCGAGATGAAGAATCTCGTTTAGTCGGCCGTACTGCTGGAACACAACGTTTGATCTTGAATACAAAAGTATGGCCGGGTATGACCGCAGAACGTGCTGGATCTAAATCATTAAGATTAACTGCTATGGATGTTCATGGGGATATTCGAATCTTTATTGTACAAGCGGCACCTAAAGAAGTCGATCAACTGCACAGTCTTTTATTACAGCGACTTAAACGCGCGCAAGAACGTCATCCTAAGAAATTGGCAACGGACCATTGACAGCCATTGACAATTCTGGCGAGGCATTAAGCATCAGCTTAATTTGTGCAACATAGAAGTCATTAAGATATGAAAGGAGTTAAATTCTTCAGGAATATTAATAAGACTATTTAGTATGCGCAATAGAATGGCTATGATTTGTGCCTTCCTTCAGAAGTTGCAGCTTTCAGTAGTTGCACCAGTATTTATTGAGAGGAGATTAAGTTGTGGCACTTAATACGAGTTTGACGCTCTTGTACACATTAGATTATTTTTTTTTAAGAATATAAAATCTGTTTATATCCTTTTCAATTGATATATTCCCTTTTTTTATTTGAAATTTAATGTCATTTTAAATAAAAGGGCGTTATTAAAAAAAAAAAAACAGATTAAGGAACATCATAATATTAATAATAAGTCTATATGTTATAACAAATCTTAAAATAAATTATAATTAGTAATTACGATTCTTTAAAAAAATCTCAAGAATATTTTAAAATGTTTGTATACAGGATGTTTAACGTAACACCCCGCATGATTTTCCAGACATTTCCGACAATTAAGAAAAGAAGTTGAAAGATGAATATTCATCTATTGTATGCAGGCTACAATATGTGATAAAAAAAATTAAAAGAAATTTTTTTTTAATAAAACAGTCATCTTGAATTTTTTTCCATAATATTGTAGGAGTCTTCAAGACGAATTCAAATTGCTATCGAAATGTCACTTTTATTGATATTTTATTGATTTTATTGCTTATTTTGTTACATAAGTACATAATATGTATCATAAATATCCATTAGCAAAGAATATTATATAAACATAAATTAATAAAGAAAAGATGTAACTTATGTAAGAGCAAATGTTCAAATTGCTTGTCTCCTTTTGCAACACAAAAGTTCTGCTCGTTTCAAAAAATTATTATGCGTAGCAGCTATTATACTATTTTGATCCGAAGTTGCACAACCTGTAATTATTCTTTCTCGAAGATCTTGAACATTATTCAGGTATTGGTTATAATAGAGTTTGGTATACACAAAAGATTTCAAGTGTCCCCACGAGAAAAAGTCCACGAGGAATAAATCTAGAGAACGTGCCGGCTATCGGACTAGTCCATATGTATTTATAACACAGATAATTTTGAACCATTCATGCATTATGAGCTGGACCATTTTGTGTACATACATTTCTAATCAGAGCTGTAAGTACTGTTGTTACAAATAATGCTGCATATTTGATATTAAATATCAATAAACTCATTAAAACATCAACAAAAATAACATTCTCGATAGTGAGTTGAATTTGTCTTAAAGATCCCTACAATATTATGGAAAAAAGATTATAAGGTGCTATTTAAAAAATTTAAGATGACTTTGATTCTTCCGTATAAAAAAGAAATGAAAAAAATTTTTTATCATATGTTGTAGAATGTAATCTGTATAAAACGGACGAATATTCATTTTTCAACTTTTTCTCTTAACTTCGTCGGAAGTGTCTGAAAAATCGTACGAATCGTTACAATGAACACTGCGTGCGTACGTATATACAGAGTGTATCTGAAATAACGCCCACTAATCATATAGTGCTATTCCTAATAAAATAAAAAATAAACTAAGTCAAAAAGCCCTCAATTGGCAATTTTCGCAATACTTTTTTTTTAAGTTACCCAATGAGCAAAATGGATAAAATCAACGTATAAGACAACTTTAAGATATCTTTAAAAATTCTTTAAGAAACATCTTTAAGATAGATATTTCACAAGGAATACTGAAAGATATCTTAAAATTGTCTTATACATCGATTTTATCCATTTATTCGGCAATCTTTAGAAATTAAGGTAATTATGCAGATATACGACTTATCCTCCCCGATGTCCTTGACCTTGACATATGTAAGGTCATGACCCTGAATGACCTTGAACAAATTTTAGCCGTCATTCGCTCGTCATTCGCGTTAAAAAGTTATCAACAAAAAACGTCATAAATGTTACATAATTTCCTGACACCTCATGTACTGTATAGACTACAGAGGGAAGATGGGGTGGGAGTCGCTTCGTGTGAAAAGTTGCAAAATATATTTTAAAGCAGAAAATTTCTGTTTTAAAATATGTTTTGCAACTTTTCACACGAAGCGATATAGTCGAAAAGAGAAATTTTTTCAAATTTTTTTTGCTAATAACTTTTTAATGAATAATGAGTGACGGCTAAAACCTGTCGAAGGCCACTCAGGGTAATGACCTTGACAACATATGTCAAGGTCAAGGACAGTCGGAGGATAGTCTGTATATCTGTATAATTAATGAAATTAATATCTCGTTAACTATTGCTGAAATTGCAAAATGGTAGAGGACTTTTCGACTCAGTTTTTTTATTAAGAATAGCACTGTATGATTAGTGAACGTTGTTTCAGATACATCCTGTATACAGGGTGTCCCCGACTTACGGGATCGCCTCTCGTGGACGGGTAGAGCGGACTGAACTGAATTGAAAAGTTCATTTTGCAATTTTCATAATACTTTGGAGATATTAATTTCTAAAGATCACTGAATAAACTCGTATCCGCTCAGGCTACCGCGAAGTATATGCCCATCGGTCCCGATCGCTTGTTGCTCGGGGAGAAGGAACTGTTTGGTAGGCGCGCCGCTTGAGTTATGACTCATAAGACCCAGTTTCACAACTTACGGTTAACTCATAACCGAGGTTCAACTTGTTTCTCATCTCTTTCCAATTCTAGAATTGGAAAGAGATAATGAATAAGTTTTACCAACCTCGGTTAAGAGTTAATCGTGAGTTGTTAAACTGGGCCCTAGGGTCTCTTTCACCAACCTCGGTTAAGTTAACCGATAGTTATATGGGGCTCACATTTAGGCCTAGTATCACAACTTAAAATAACTTAAAATAAGTTGAACGTCGGTTAAAAGTTAACCATGAGCTGTGAAACTGAACCTAAATGAGCCCCATGTAACCGTCGGTTAGCTTAACCGAGGTTGGTAAAAGAGATCCTTAGGCCCAGGTTCCACAACTCATAGTTAACTCTTAACCGAGGTTCAACTTGTTTCTCATCTCTTTTCTTAATTCTAGAATTAGAAAGAGACAGTGAATAAGTTGAACCTCGATTAAGCGTTAACCGTGAGTTGTGGAACTAGGCCTTAGTGCGCGCCTATCAGGCAGTCCCCGCGCGACGAGCGACTGTGATCGATGGGCGCGTACATGGCGATAGTCCGCGCGAATACATGCTTATTTGATCTTTAGAAATTAATATCCCCTAAAGTAATATAAAAATAACAAAATAGCAAAGTAGCAAAAGAGCGAAGGATTTTTCGACTCAGTTTAGTCCGCTTTACCTGCTCATGAGAGGTGATTCCGTAGGTCGGAGATCCTGTATATTATCGAATAATGCGTAATTGTGTATTACAGGCATCGTTTTTGTTCAGAAAGGGTAATTTGTTACATCAACTGTACATTTAAATAAATAATTTGAATATGTATAATTTACCATTAAAAAATATATGAGAATGGTTGGATATGAGTTATAGTATTTGTAGCATATAATATTGCCATTACTTGTACTTTCATTTATATTTCAAAGTTTGTGGAAATGTACACTATAACAGCATTATTATTATTATTAATATTATAATTATTATAATTATAAGTACACGTTTTATTTTAGATGTAAATAAAATTCTCATTGTAGTTCTAATTGTGTTTCCTAATTTTATTCTTTGCCCTACAGATTCTTAAATTCAATCATCGATTTTGCTTAGCAATTTTTTTCTTGCGTCTTTTGCTCATTGAATAAATGAAACAAGAGCGGGGCAAAGAACTCGCTATTTTATGGAATTAAAAACCTATAACGGTCGAAGTTGGATTAAGAAATGGTACAGAAGATCTCAAGTTCGAAATTTTTTATGCCGTTCTCAGCATAGACTACGTTTACACGGTCACCCTTATAGGCTGCGGTTCACTTGATGTTACAAACGCTTCGAAACGTTTGAGAGACCAATCAGAACAAAGAATTTACGAATTGACTAATTAAAGAATGCTTCGAAGCGTTTGTAGCGTCAAGTGGACCGCAGCCTGTATCGCACAGGTGCGGCCTGTGAAGGGGGAGGAGCAATAATCGCCCGAAGTGCTAACGCATGAGGGCGTCGTTCGATGGGGAAAAAATTAGTGTTAAAAAATTGCTGCAGATCACAATTTTTGAACA